CCGGCGGGCGGCCACCCCCCGCGGCCACGATGTCGGCGGCGGACGAAGAGGGTTGGGACGGGCGCGGGCCGCGCGGCGGGGGCAGCGGCGACGGGCCGGCGGCGCAGGCCCCGCGCGGGGGGCTCCTCAACCGTTTCGTCAGGCTGTCGCCGGGCCCGGGACGAGGCGGTGAGTGGGGGGGGGCGCCCCCGTGTTGACCTTCCCGCGCCCGCGCCGCTGCCCCGCCGTTCTCCGCTCGGCCGCGGGCACCCGAGTGGCGGCCAAGCCGAAAGGGTGCCCGCCGGGTGGCTTGGGCTTCGGATCCCATCAGCCCCAGCTTCACGCCCCGTGCCGAGGGGTGCTGGGAACTGCGGTCCCGAGCCCCCGGAGAGCACTCGCGGGGCAGGCCTGGTGCGGGCCAGGTACTCCGTGCGAGGTCCCGGTCTGCTGCTCGTAACAAATGCCTCGGTTAGCGAGGCTGGCAAGCAGACCGTGAGAAGAGGGGTGCTGGATCAGCCCGGGCGTCCATGTGGTGCTCAGGCAACGGCCAGCCTGCTGCCCATGAGAAGCCCTCATCCTCCCAGCCATATTCCCCAGCAATTGTTGTGGGCCACCTCCATGATGGGGGTAGTATACGGGACTGGTAGGCCTCGACAGCCTTTTGCAGAAATTTGAACAAGCTCTTCTTAATGCCCTCCTAGTCCCCTTGAAGAAGTGAATTCCATCTGTGCTCGTGAAACATAGAAACAGAGCGCGTCAGAAGGGGTCTCCCGGGCCATCTAGTCTGACCCCCGGCTCCAGCCGGCTCCGCTCACGACATGCCCACCATGTGCATAACCGAAGCCCATTCCACACCCTCGGGGTCCTGACTGTCAGGAAGTGCTTCCTGGTATCTAAATGGAACCTGGGTTCCCTGAGCTTTGCTCCTTCTTTACATACTTCCTGAATCTTATCACAATCAGTTTCATGGGTGACTCCTTTGGAGAAAAGGGAGGAAAACAAATCTCCTGAGGCACTTTCTCTACACTGGATATAATTTTCTACAGCTTCAACCCTTCCTAGGGATGCCGCTGAGCTCCATCCCCTCTTTGGTATATGAATCATAGAGTTGGAAGGGGCCCAGTAAGACTATCCAGCTGTCTGCTCAATGCAAGATAAAGCATCCCCCACAGAAGGTTGGCCAGCTGCACCTTGAATGCCTTTATGGCAGGAGAGCTCTTAAAGTCCATAGGTAATTAATCAGTTCCATTGTTCTAAGAAGTTTTTCTTGATGTTCAGCTGGAAACTGACTTCCTGTAACTTGAGGCCATTCTGTGTCCTGTACTTTGAATCTGGGATGACAGAGAAGAGATTCTGGCTGTCCCCTTTGTGACAGCCTTTCAAGTCCTTGAAGAGTACTAGCATGCCTCTTCTCAGTCTTCTCTTCTCCAGGCCAAACCCAGCCATTTCGCTCAGTCTCTTCTCAGCGGGCTTTGTTTCCAGTCCCCAATCATCTTTGTCACTTTCTTCTGACGCTCTTCCTGTTTGCCTGTATCTTTCTTAAACTGTAGCACCCAGAACATTGATGCATTATTCAAGATAAGGCCTAACCAGAGCTGAACAGAGGGGAACTAGAGCTTCATGTGATTTGAAGAAACAATACTTCTCTTAATGCAGCCTAAATAGCATTTGCCTTTTTTGCAGCCATATCTCATTGTTGCCTTATTTTCAGCTTGTGATCTATAACAATTCCAAGATCCTCTCATTTGCAGAATTGTTGAGCCAAGTATTTCCCATCTTATAACTATATGTTTAGTTTCTTTGTCCTTGGTGCAGAACTTGACGTTAGTTTGGTGTTCCCAGCTTTATGCTCCGGTCGCAAGATTACTTTGAAATGTGTTTTTGTCTGCCGGGTTATTAGCTGTCCCACTCAGTCTTCTGTCATCCGCAAATCTGATAAGCATTCCCACCATTATCTCATTCAAACCCTTAATAAAAGTGTAGAAGAGCACTGGGCCTAGGTTTGAACCCCACTCAGTTTGAGACGGTGCCATTGATACACATTCTTTGAGTCCAGCTCTGTGGTCAACCGTGAATCCACCTGATAGTTGTTCTGTCTAGCACGCTTCGAACTAGTTTGCTAATCAGGATATCGTCGTGTGAAGCTTTTGCTTAAGTCAAGATGTAGGATGTTCAAAGCATTCCCACCATCCACATCAGATCAGATTTGTCTGGCAGTTTGTTCTGGATAAATCCATGTTTACTTGTAACAATCACTGCATTATTCTCAAGGTGTTTGAAGACTAACTGCTTTATAATTTGCTGCAGAATTTTACCTGGATTTACGTCGGACTGACTGGTCTGTAGTTCCCAGGTTCTTCTTTTTTGCCATTTTGAAGATAGGTACAGCATTAGCCCCCTCCACTCACCTGGCGTTCCACCCCCCCCCCCCGTGTTTCTCAAAGGAAATAGAAAGTGGTTCCGAGAGTTTTCCCGCCGGCATCTTTATAGCTCTGGGACACATTTCACTGGTGGCAGTTCAAAGTAATTAGGTATTCCTTGACCATTTGCTCATCGGTCTCGAGCTGAATCCTTCCCCTCCACTTTGCCAGGGAGGTCGCAGATCTTTGGTGAGAAGACGATGTCAAGCCGTAATTAAGCACTTCTGCCTTTTCTTTGTCATCTGTTATCCTTTTGCCGCCCTGATCAAGTGGCTGAACTTCCACTGCTTGCTTCGTTCTCTTGTTGTGCATGTATCTGAAGAACAGGGTGTTCAGTTTCCCTTGCTGACTTCAGCCCATCCCTTCGCTTTTAGCCATCCCAATAATTCTGTGCTGCCTGCCTGTGCTCCTCTTTTGTAGCTTGGCCTTCCTTCCACTTCCCATATATGTTCTTTTTTTGCTTTTAGGTTCTCTCTCAGCTTTTTGGGAAGCCTCATTAGTGTCTTCTGTTGTCTTCAACCCTTTTTTCTTGTTGGAATTGTTTGTATTCGTGTCTGTAGAATTTCCTTTAAACTCCCAGCTTGGACCCCCTTTCTCATTAGAGTTGCTTGCCACGGGATCTGACTTACCATAGTTCAACTTTTATTAAAAGTGATTTTCCTGAAACCCTCATGTTTTTCCTTCCTTTAGAATCAAGAATTCAAGCATGACATAGTTGCTTTCCCCCAGAGGTCCCCCCCAACTGTCACTTCGTCCAGTGGATAATTCCCGTTGACTAGAATCAAGTCAAGAATAGTCCTTTTGCTGCTATCGTGCACCAGCCTTAAAAAACCGTGTTGCGACCATGCTAGTTCCACACCATGGATTGCCTTCATTTCTATTGTAGCTTTTCTCATGCACAGCTGAATCTTAAGACTGCATCTGTGCCGTGCTCAGTGGCTTTTATTCCCAAGTGACTGTGGACAGAGTCGCTGCTGCAATTGCTTATGTTCTTCCTGGGTATATTTATTTTAAAAAGTTTATATCTTACTTTGTAGTTCATATAAGTTGCTCAAAGCAGCTTACAAATAAACATTTTTGTAGCATCAGAAGCAACAATTCAGAGAAAAACACACAAGGTGAATTGGAGGCTGGAAGAGATCCGGCAGAGTGTGTTCCCAGCTGCCCAGGGCATGGCAGCCCGGGATACAAGCCAGAGGGCCTCTCCCTTATATGCCAGTGGTAGAAGTTGGGGAGTGAGGTTCTGGCTGTTCCTCCTCACCCTCACAGGGCCGGGGCAAGGCCTCACAGGCTCTCCGACGTCTCAGCCCTGCTACTAAGCTAAGATTCCCTGAGCAGGATTCTGTAGCCGAAGTTTTTTCTTCTGCAAAGCAACATTAGAAAGGTCAGGATGTGGTCAAGACTGCCCCAGCAAAGCGTGCTGTCTTGTTTTGCATCCGAAAGACAAGACATTTCTGCTTGAGGGTTCTGTTTTGGGTGTTTGAACAGCAAGCCAGTGAATGCCAGCAAGAAAAAGAACCTCTTTGAGTACATGGGCAGCAGGAGAGTTGCGGGTTGGGAAACATGAATGGAAGGCAGAGGTGGCTGGAAAGTCAGCTGGGACCATGTCACGGGCTGCAGCCCCTTACCTCTGGTCACTGGAGCCTTCTGGAAAAGTGGTTTATGTATCAGTTGTGGCTTATACTTAGAATCATGAGGTCTGCTTTTTTTTGAAAGTAAAAGTCCTTTTCAAATTCACTGGAAGCTGCAATAATTGAATCTGTCCCTAATGTCATAGAAGTGGAGCTGCTACTTTGCTGGCTGGCGAACCTTTCCACAGGGCGGGCCAAAAGGAGGCATGCAGGACTGGCCAGGCCACACTGAGTCTCGTAGGGGCTTGAAATGTCCTCCCTCGACGTTGCAGCTTTCACGGAACCTGTCCCAGTCCCTGTGGCACCAGTTCCCGGTGCCGATACATGCTGGCGAGACGCACGCCTCCAGTTCGTCCGCGGTGCGCGGTCCTCCATGACCTGGCCAGGGCCGTATACCTACCCTTGGCCCACCCTCTGTATCGCGGTGCCTGCCTCTGGCCTCCCCAGGCGTCTGTCTCCGCTGGGCCACCCACCCTTCCCAGCCCGTCTCCTTGCCTGCTCACAAACTGGCATGCTTCTGTTGTAGGCCACAGAGTTCCGCCAGCCAGAAGCGGCCACCGCTGCGTCGCAGACAACGCCAACCTGTATGTGTTTGGAGGGTATAATCCCGACTATGACGAGTCCGGAGGGCCAGAGAACGAGGACTATCCGCTGTTCAGGGAGCTCTGGCGGTACAACTTTGCGACCGGCACCTGGCACCAGATGGGCACAGAGGGCTACATGCCGCGCGAGCTGGCCTCCATGTCGCGTAAGTGCAGGGGGTGAAGTGCCTCGGTGGCTCTGGGTGGGGCCCGGTCGTAGCTGGGCCTGCGCCTCCCGTTTGCGTGAGGGCTGCCGCGGAGCGAGACTGGAGCGAAGGGCCTCCTCTGAACCAGGCCCTGATCTGTGTTGTCGCCCCTGCACCAAACTTGCTCTGTTGAAATGCAGTGGTGCGTATCTTAGATGCCCAGGCGGAGCTGAGTTTGGGTAGGCGCAGGCTGCCGAGAGCTCCCTGGGCCCCGTTTGCACTGTGGCTACGCTTTCAGAGGGTCCGTCCCTGCTTGTGGGGCCGCTGTCTTGGTCCCCGGATTCCAGCAGGTGGCCCCTCAGTGAGCAAGCATCGGGCCGCGTGCTTTGGATCTTTCGTTCCTTTTCCGTAGGAGCGGCTCCTGCGTGTGCTGCTCGCTCAGTAGAGCCCTTAGCTAGCAGGGCGATGGTGCCGACGCCTCTGTGCCCCTCCCACGGCAGCGCCGCTTTTCGGTTGTCCGGGAACAGTAGACAATGCACCGCAGAGCTTTGCTAAGGTGGAATCGCGGGTCCCGCACTCGTGCGTTAGCTGTTTGTGTTCTGTCTTGCCAGTCGTGTTGCACGGCAATAACCTCTTGGTCTTTGGGGGCACCGGGATCCCATTTGGCGAGAGCAACGGCAACGACGTGCACGTCTGCAACGTGAAGTACAAGCGCTGGGCCCTGTTCAACTGCCGCGGAAAGAAGCCAAATCGCATCTATGGACAGGTATGGAGCGGCCTCTTCAAGCTCAGGTAGCAGCGAGCTTTTTCGGAGAAGCTTGTGCTCCACAGAGGTGGGAACAGGATGTCTAGTATTTCCTGGGGCCGCCGAGCCTCGAGGCTGCTGAAGCACATGCAGCGGCACCAGCTTCATGCTGGACTTAAGATGAAGAGGCTTAGGAACTGAACTGGAGCCACAGTTTGCTCAGGTTTAGCCTTGAGGAAGAGGGCGCAAACTCAGGTGCCTTAGAACGTATGTAGCGTTTTTTCCTATTTTGGTCACCACAACTAAGGCTGGACACGCACTCAAGATTTGTAAAACTGTGGTGGTTCTTGGAACGCTTCCCAGTCATAAAGATCAGACTTGTGGACAGGCGATAATTCCCTCCTAGAGATAGATCCAGAGTACCAGGTGCTGTCAGTGGTCAGTTATACGGTGCGGCTCTTGGACTGGTTTTCCCAGAAGGCAGTGCGCCAAGGTGGATCCTGGCGGGGAGATGTGGCTTATGGACTCCCAGGTGTTCTTGCTGCCAACAACTCCTGCTGTCCTGAGCAGATGATACTGGCACTGTTGACACCCCACCTGGAAAAAAGTTGGAGGAGGGCAGCGAAGATGGTCGGGACTGGCAGCCAAGGGCTGTGAGGAGAGAGTGGAAGATCTGGGCGTGGGTAGCCTGAGAAGACGAGCCTGAGGGGAGACAGCATGGCGCTCTTCAAGTACGTGAAAGGCTGTCACAGGATTTCCCCTTAGTCACCTCAGAGCCCAGGACACAGAAACCGGGCTTGAGTTGCAGGGAGCCGTATCCTGGCCGAGCATCAGGAAAAACTTCCTGACTGCAGGAGCAACGCAGCAATGGAGCTGATGACTCGGGAGGCCGTGGGCTCTCCCACAAGAGAGGCATTCAGGGGATGCTTTGGATCCTGCATTGAGCAGCGGGGTGGCCCCAGTGGACTTAATCATTCTATGATACCAGTATCTCGCATCCTTAGAAGCGGTCGAGGCAGTGGCTGCTTGGTTAAGATGCTTAGAGGCAGTGGTGATAGGAATTCTGGAACTGGTGATTTTGGCCCTGGGATACTTGTGGGGTAGCAGGAACCCTTATCCCCGTGCTTTCTGACTTCTAAAGAAAGCTTGTCACCCCCCCCCCCACCACAAGATGCTCCCAAGAAGTGTAGACGATGCCTCCACGAGGATCGATTGCTGAATTGCTTAGATGAGCTCGGGGCATCGTGCTTCTGAGCAGACTCACTTCAGATGCAATTACTTGCGGACCATGCTGTGAGCTGTGGGGCTTTTGTCTGCCTCCACTTACAGAGGGTTGCACCCTTAGGGTAGTTCTGTGTTCGTCACAGAAGTCGAGCGTTTTGTGAAGAGAACTGGCTGCAGCAGTTAGAACGGAGACCAAACAACCCAAAGATTGTTTCAGGCCCCGACTGTAATCCTTTGGCCGTGGAGCTCGGCCCTTTGTATTGTCCATTACGGTTTTTGCGGGTTCGGTTGTGATGTCTCTTGACATATACACACTCCTCTGTATTGGTGATCTGCTTTAGCCAAGGGGCACTACAAGCAGTTGGTGCTTTTGTTGGTGATCTGGAGGTCCAGAACAAGGGTGCTCAATGCTTGGCTGTTGGGATGTACTAGCAAAGTCGCCTGAGCTTGGTCTGAGAGCACGTGATGGCGGCAGGCCTGCCCTGCTAATTGGCCTGTGTGGGGGATGGCCTGGCAGCCCTCCTTGAGCCCCCTTGTGGAGGGAGGGCAGGGCAGAGTGAGTGAACCCAGAACTCCCACCCAACCCAGGACCCGCGGTCCCCTCGTGTTCCTTTGGGACGGAGGTGTCTGTCTGCGTGCTCGGGAGGACTGCCGTGGGGCCGCTTTGCACGATGGGCTTTCCTAGCAGGGGTTTCCCGTTTTCTCCTTTCAGGCCATGGCGATCATTAACGGGTCCCTGTATGTCTTTGGAGGAACCACGGGCTACATTTACAGCACGGATCTGCACAAGCTGGACCTGAACACCCGGGAATGGACCCAGCTGAAGCCAAACAACATGCACTGTGACATGCCAGAGGAGAGGTGAGCCTCGGCAGGCAGGCGCCATCCCTGGCACGGAGGCAGCCGCTGGGCCTGGTCCTGCGGGGCCGTCTCCCTCCTGGCCTCTCCTTCGCCCCCAGTGCCAAGTGTGTGGCCGAGGGGCTCTCGGGCGAGAGCCAGTGGGGTACAGCGGCAAAGAGTGCTGCGGTGGGGCTCGAGATCCGGGTTGCAGCCCGGCAGCCGTGAAACCGACGGGGTGACTTTGGGCATTCGCTGCCTCTCAGCCTCAGCCACGCCACAGGGTTATTGTTATGAGGATCACAATGGCAAAGAAGCGTTTTCTTCCTTCCGGGGAGGAGAACAATGGAATCGAGGGCACGTGACGGCAGCGAGCACAGGAACGGTGATGGGCCGTGAGCGAGCAGCCGCTGACCGAGGAAAGGAGCTCGGGGTTGGGGTGGGTGGCTGGGTGAAAAGGCCAGTCCAGTGCAGGGCTGCTGAGGAAGGTGCAGCCTCCAGGCAGGGCCCCGCAACCAGAGGCGCTGGCGGCGGAGCGGCCACTGGCACACTGCTCTTGCGTGGGGCCGGGCTGTGTCTGCCCTTTGCGTATCGCATGCAGTTCCGGTTGGTGCGCATAAAAGGGGATATCGTGGAGTCTGGAAAAGGGCAGCTAAAATGATCGACGGGCTGGGGCCATTCTTGTGTGAAGAAAGGTCAGAGCAGCTGAGACTGTTTAGCTCGGAGAAAAGGCGCAAAGGGGAGGCATGAGGGGGTGCAGAGTTACGCATGATGTACAGGAAGTGAAAAGCGGGACCGTTCCCCCCCTCTTCTGTCCAAGGCACCATCCTGCCGAGATGCTGAGAAGTATCCGGATTTTTTTTTGAACTTTATTCAATATTTATCTGTTTTAACTGTTTTGTAAGCCGCCCCGAGGCTTGTTGCAAAGGGGGCGGCATAAAAATGCTTTACATAAATAAATAAAATCCCACGAAGCTTTTTGGCGGGACACTCAGGAAAGATCAGAGGGAGGGCTTCTTCACGCAGCGCATCGTTCAGCTCTGCAGTTCACTTCCACGAGAGGCAGTCGTGGTTTGAAGGGCTGTCAAAGGGGTCGGACAGATTTGTGGCCGAGAAGGCCGTCGGGGGCTCCTGATCCCGATGGCTCTGCTGCTTGCAAGACCGAAGGCCGGATGCCTGCATTTGCCAGCTGCTGGGGAACCTGGGTGGGCGAGGTGCAGCTCTCGCACCCCCCTCCTGCTGGTGTGCAGCTGGCTGGCCATTGTGTGAACAGGGCGCTGGACGGGGCGAGGCCCTGGTCTGCTCCGGCGTGGCCCACCTCGCGTCCTCTCCCCGTTGCTTCTCAGAGGCCTTGCGTGCGCAGGCCACCTGAGCCATTCCCTCGCCGGCGATGTGGGGGGGGCCTGCCATTCCGTGGCGACAGTCCCTCGCCTCACGGTCCCGCCCCGCCCTCGGACAGCTCTCCTGCCCAGCCTTCTCTGCCTCGGAAGTGGCTCCGTGCTGAGCTGGACTGCCAGCCCAGTGTTGTCCGCACAGGCTGGCAGCAGAGGCTGATTTGCAGGAAGGAGCTTTTCCAGGCCTGCCTGGTGATGCTGCAGGAGAGCAGACCTGGCCCCTTCCACGTGCAGAGCGCGTGCCCTGCCGGTGGGCCTGAGCCCCTCCGCCCCGTCTCCGCCCAGCAGACCTTTTGGCAGTGGCCTCTGCTGTGGAGCTGAGGGATGCGCGAAATGACGACTCATGGGGAGGCACATGCTGAGCTCTTGACGCATCGTGTTCCCATGGGACCCTTTACCGGCAAAACGCGCCACGAAGATCAAGACCGTAGGGCCGTTACTTTTTGAACGTGAGGAGCAGGTGGGGAAGGCTCTCTACTTGCTGTGGCTTCTCCCTTCAGGTACAGGCACGAGATCGCGCATGACGGCCAGAGGATTTACATCCTGGGCGGAGGAACCTCTTGGACAGCCTATTCCTTGGACAAGGTGAGGCAAGTCCTCTGGGAGGCCATCGGCAGCTGGATTCCTGGTGGGTGGGGAGTCCGCCGAGAGGGGGGGCCCTCGCCACGCGCTGCGTGAGGACCCGGTGTGGTTCAGCAAGCGGTTGGGACTCGCGTCCCAGCTCACGCAGAGGGCCGTGAACCCGGTGCACGAGCCGGCCTCGGCTAGGGCAGCGTGCAGAACTGAAACAGGGTGCTGGGCCCACCCCCACAACCTACACTGGCCGGATGATTTGGTGGGGGGGGACACACCCCCTGGTGCCAGGTGGTCCCTGGCTGGGGCTCCTTTTGGGATCCCTGGGAGCACTGGGGACCCTGCTGGGTGTGTGCGCCTTTTCTCCAGCCAGCACCCGGCTCAGGGCAGCCGCGTCGCCCTCCGCACAGGCAGAGCCTTTCGTGTGCGGCCACGGCAGTCACTGGACGCTGGCCAGGAATGAGGCTGGGGGAGGGGTCGGTCTGGCAGGCCAGGCTTGGCTAAGAGGGACCTGTCCCTGGTTTAGGAGCTCCAGGGCAGCTCAGTGCCGTCCGTGCTTCTGACACAGCCCTGTCGTGCGGCGACTTGCCTTCCCTCCTGGTTTCGCTGAAAACTACATAAATTTCTGATTTCATCCGTGTGCATGAACATGGCAAAAGTAGCGGCCCGGAGCCCAGCAGGCGTCTCGCCAGGGCGGGGCGCCTTTGAAGCGAGCCATGGGGCTCCCGCGCGGCCCCCTTCACCCCTCAGGCCTGGGCCGAGGCCTTGCTGGCAGGCTGGGTTCCTGATGCAGGAGAGGCACTCGGGGGGGGGGGGGCACAGGCCGCTCAGTTGTACTGGAGGCACCCACTCCGCAGAGCCACGTTCGCTTTCTGCTTCTCTTGGAGGCTGCGAAAGAGGCGTAGAGCGTGGGCTCTGCATGGCCGGGTCTCCAGCTCAGCCACACTCTGGATGTGAGGCTTGCGAGGTCGTGTGCCAGACAAGAATTATCTTTGCGTGCATGTTCACATGACTCTTTAAGCTGGGCACCGACAGACGGGGTTGCCACGTGTCTTCGCAGGAACTGCATCATTTATGTAAGACTACCTATTTATTAAACAAATTTCTAAGTGGTGTACAAAGCCCAGCCCTCATACAGGATGCAGTGACTTTCCAAGGAGCGCCTGTTGAAAAGGTGAGTTTTCAGTAGGCACAGAAAACCTGGTGCATACCTGATTTGTCCTGGTTGGGCGCTCTGAGTGCCTTTTGCCTGTGGTGGAGAGGAGCTGCTCCTGTCAGAGACCTGCTTGGGCACAGCGTTGTTCTCTTCTGTCGCCTTTTTAACGCCTGGTTATAACTGCATTCTTTGTGTTGCTCAAGATTCATGCCTACAACCTTGAAACAAACACCTGGGAGGAAATTGCAACCAAGCCCCATAAAAAAGGTAGGTTTTTAGAAGCTAAGGTTCATTGCAAGGGCTTGAAAAGAACGTTTTTGCAGTCAGAAAATCGTGCATGCGAACATATGTATGCCGCGGCTCCAGAAGACATCTAAACCAAGGGTGCCTTTCTGATCCATTTGCGATCACGCTCGCTCGCTCTCTCTTTAAACAACGTTTCTTTTAACATTCTGGAGATCAGTGAAGAGTTGAAAACCTGCAAATTCAGCTGGCCTGCAGAGAGAGTTTCCTTCCCTACAGAGAATGGCTTTCCTACTTTATCTTCAGATTAGTTTCTCTTATAATGTTTCAAATCAGAATGGCCAGTCTGGTGCAGAAGAGGATGTCCATTCCCACCCACCCAGTTTTATATTGGCATAGCTATAATCTTACTCGTGTCTCTTGCTTCAAGAACGTACCACAGTGAATGCAAATACTTGCACAAACAGCTTTTTATTTAAAAACATACAGCTGCATAGAAATTCTGTGATACAAATTTTATAGCTTTCGTCTCTAATTCTAGCACCTTTAATATCCATATCTTCTCTAATATTTCTATTTGACACTTCTAAAATCAATATAAATAACAGTGGTGATAGCGGACATCCTTGTCTGCATACAAATTCTGTGATACAAATTGAGCAAATACTTCTTCCCTCTTGAGCAAATTTCAGAGAAGTAGGCATATTCTCCAACTCCCCTCTATTTCTTCTTTCAAAAATATAAAATAAGAGAGCAGTCGATTTCAAACTGCTTGAGAGTGCTTCACACCCAGGACCAAGGGGATTTCTCTGGATAAGCCCCTTTCCCCTTATCCCCCCCCCCATCATGAGAAACTCATCTCACTGAGCAGTGTTTCTCCAATTCTGCTCGCTCACATTCACATTTTTCTTCTGCAGATTTCCCGGCAGCCAGGAGATGTCACAGTTGTGTACAGATAAAAAACGGTAAGAATGACCAACTTGGGACATGCTATTATCAAGGTTTCCTGTTTATGGTGGGCAAAATCCCAACCAGGTTAAATTGCCTGTAAGTCTCCCTGTGCTGGAGGTATAGTCACATCCTTGAGCTGCTGCGGTGTTTTGACATGTTGTTCCTGAACATTCTAACTTGCGAGGGGGAAAGGTCACTCAGTGCTGGAAAATCCAGAGAGAAACTAAAGGCTGGTATGAGTGGGAGAATAACTCCGTGCAGGGCAGGGCTGGGGCCTCCATCTGGCGTTCCCTGGAAAGCCACGTGCCCCTGCAGTGAGCACCCATCTTGTGGCCGCTTCCTGGCCTGCGCGCAGCGTTCTCCCCGTTCTGAAGACTGACACGATCCGCAAGTGCTGGACTCTCCAGGCCAAGCTCGTTTTTTTCCCTTCAAATACCAAGTCGTACTGACATGACAGCAAGACGGTTTGAAAACATAGGATGTATTCCGAAATACAAATTGGTGGGTGGAATAAGCGAAGCCCGATTTTGAACAGAGTTCTACAGATCGTTTCCTTTCTTAAAGCTGAGGACAGTGTCTTATCCGGAGGGCGTTTCTGAGCTGTCCCAAGAGAAGTCAAAAGCAGCGCGGGTGTTTGAGCCTGATAACACTCAGCTGCAGCCTGAGATGTGCGAGAGCTCTGGCGAACTGGTGATGTAGTGCTTCACCAAGAAAGTAATTTAATCTCGGCGCTTGTTAGCGATGAATTAGTTTTATCCAAATTCCCATCAAAGACCTGCCAATAAGAAGCTTATTTCATCTCTTTGGTCAGCGCTTTTCCTTTTGGGTCCCAAACAGGATATTTGACCTTAGGTCACACCTGAGTTCCTTTGCTTGGCTTCTGGACCTGCTGCACATGGAGCTGCAGAGCGCGGTTAATTAACCCGAGTTGCTGTGCATGAGCTGGCAAGGGCAGGCATGCCGAGTGGGCGCATCAGCGATTTCGGTTTTTAATCGGCAACCCGCATCGTTGGCTCATAAGCGGTGGCACAAGATGCATAAACTCGGGAGCGCGGTGTTGTTGAGGGGCGAAACAACGCAGCGGTTAACTCGGCCCACGGTTTGCCATCGTATGAGAATTGGGGCCCGTTGCCCCTTGGCTCGCTTAGCTGCGTGGACAGCGTTTGATTCTGTTCGCTTTCAAGTTTTTCATTTTTATTCATTGATAAGAAATAGTACCTAACTTCACTACTTAACTAGCCAGCCTCTTTTCAAGCTGCTTGTCAGCTGGATTAGGAAGAAAGAGTCCCTCTTCACATTTGCCCCTTCGGTTAACAATGGCCACTATGAGTTTAGAGGTAAAAACCTCAGCGTGGGTCTGATGTGGATGAGGAAGTACAGACCAGACCCACATTGTCAGTTTGTCTCTTCTGGCTCCACAGGTGGCCTCCGAGTTTCAGCTATTAGGTGGCTTAGGAATGAAATAAAATAATGTAATAATGGTAATAACAATGCTCTCCCACAACTTGGGATTCTTAACAGAGGGAATCCATTAACTGGAATCAGAATTATTTATGATTGATGTATTAGATTAATATCCCATTTTTTCCAACAAACTCAAAGCAGCTTGCATCATTCTTCTGCCCTCCAGCTCACCCTCACAACAGCAACCCTGCGAGGTAGGTTGGGCCGAGAGTCTGTGGCTGGCCCAGTGTCACCCAGTTGGCTCCACGGCTGTGTGGGGACTACAAGCCAGGTTGCCTGAGTCCCAGTCCCGTGCCCTTCACCACCACACCACCCTGGCTCGCTGCGTGGTGAGGAATGTGCACACGACTCTACACTGTATATTTTTTAATTTTATGTGGACAACCAAAACTTGGTAACAATTGGATTTAAGTCTGTTAGGATGTTTACGTGGAACGTTCTGGCTGGAGATCCCGGGCACTGTCGAATGTGCTTGCACAGGGTCTCCCCCTTAGGCAGCCTGAGTCTGGCAACGCCCCAAAAGAGGCAAGATGCCAGTCTAAAAAGGCTCTGAAAAGGTTTGCAAAAGCCGCTGGGAGAACAACAAAAATGGCGCCAAATCCCTGTTTTTTCCAATACCCACAACACCACAGCTGTTCAAAGAAGTTCTCAAGTACTGTTCTGGGGGAAAGAGAGTTCTGTTTTGGGCCACACGTGTGGGGACCATTCCCCCGAGTGAAAATCGAAGTCTGTCTGTGGTCTGTCCATTCAGATGTCTTTGTCTGCGGAGGGTACAATGGAGAAGTGATCCTGGGGGACATCTGGAAGCTGAATCTGCAGTCCTTCCAGTGGGTGAAACTCCCAGCAGCGATGCCCGAGCCGGTTTATTTCCACTGCGCTGCTGTGACTCCGGTAAGTGGGCGCAAATATCAGCCCCTCCGCGAGTCCTGGGTAACTTCGACGAACGCTTCTCTGGTCATTCCTCCGCTGCCTTTGTGCATCCTCCTGTCTGCTGCAGAGCTGGATCCACGTACCCAAACGCACGCAGCGTGATCCTCGGCTCTGGTGTTTAACTTCACTGCGGCAGGTTTTCCTGTGATTTGTTCCAAGAAATCCCTGGGTTGGTTTCCTCCCGGGAGCCCGGCTTCTTCTTGCCTCGGTCCCTCTTGCGCTTTGCTGGGCAGTGGCGGCCATGTATACGCAATGGTTGCCAGTGGGGAGACAACGCAGGGGCCCGGACCTTGGAGCGGAAGGGCAGGCGCGGCTGTGCTGGGGTGCCAGGGCAAGGACAGGTGCTGCCCGGGGGAGTTGCCACGCAGGGGGTGGGATGAGTCATTTTAGAGGTGTGTGCTGCGTACCTCTGAGGCACTTCCCTGCCCTCCACCCACCCCTGCCAAGATCCCTGGTTTTTCCCCCATGAGCTGGTACCTTCAGATCAGTGGCCGTGCTGGCTGGGAATTATCGGAGCTGTAGTCCAGCTGCTCTGGAGGGCTCATGCCTCTTCCCCCACTCAAACGTTTCTCCATGTGTCTCCTGTCTTCTCCCAGTCCAAGGAGACTTGAGCAAAGCGTTGTTTTTTTAAAGACTTCTCCCTCCCTGGGTGAACAAGTCAGTGTCTGCCCGCGACTTCTCAGGCAGCTGCGCCATTCCATCCTGCGTGGCTGGCGAGGCACGTGTGGCCTGGGAGGAGCCCGAGGTGCGCAGGGGCGAGCTCTGCCAGCGGCCAGCTTGCTGCCCTTACCGGGGAAGGGGGCAGGGGGCAGACTCTGTCTTGGGCTGTGCTGGCAGGAGGCCATGCCCGTTGGCTGTGGTCCAGGTCAAAATAAGGGGCCCGTGGGCAGTCCGGTGGGAGGCCTTGTAGCCCCCATCCAGGATGCTGCGCCATTTCCTTTTGCGGCCGTCGGAATGCCTCCACAATGCAGAGCTGAGAGCAGGCAGGTTGGCTTGCTGGAGAACCGGCTTCCCAGAGCAGCACCTCCAGCTCGGCAGGCAGCCAGGCGCTTGCAGTCCCCGTGTGTCCCAAGCAGTGACCGCGTCTCGCTTCTGCTTCCGCGCAGGCCGGCTGCATGTACGTCCACGGAGGCGTGGTGGACATCATCCGGAACAAACGGACTGGCTCTCTCTTCAAGATGTGGCTGGTGGTGCCCAGCCTCCTGGAACTGTCTTGGGAGAAGCTCCTGGTTTTCTTCCCCCATTTAGCAAACCTCACCAGATCGCAGCTTTTGCACCTCGGACTCACAGAGGGACTCATTGAGCGCTTGAAATGAGGCCCTCTAATTTAAATTTCAAACACTTATTTAAATACTAAATTAAAAAGTGACTCCTCTCGTCCTCCCTTTCGCTTGTGCTTTCTCTCTCTGAGTGTCGCAAAGAATGCTGCTAAGGAGATGGAAGCTCTGCTCCGAAGCCTTACCTGGCAAAATACATCAGATGCCTTTCCTGTGAGTTTTTATTTTAAAGTTTATGGAAGTCAACCTTTTTTTAATTTATGGATACCAATAAGTACGTCATGAACTAAAGATACTGCTGCTGAACTAATCCGTACTGCTTCTGCTGCATGCCTGTAGATTCGGTAGGGAGGGGGGCAGACTCTGCCTCCCCTCCCCCTCTCCTAGTTCTTGTTCTGTAAGAAAGGCTTTCCTGCCTAGAATATCCCGCCGCGATTTCTGCGGCCTGCGTGGAAGGGGCCAGCGGGCCCGTTCCGGGACCGACTGTGGCTCTCGCCATGCTCGCGGCTCCGAAGTGAAAAAAGCAACCAAACCAGCGCAGTGTCTTCTGTGGGCGTAAGATGTGGCTGGTGTCGCGTATGTTGTCATTTTCTGCCCTTCCATCTCGGAGCTTCCCATCAAGGCCTGTATTCACACGACTGGCATCAGCCCAGCCGCCTCTCCGGAAAGGTGGTCCAGAGCAGTGGGCTGCGCACCCAGCCACGGTTCCCGTTTCTGTCCCGCACTGGAAGAGGTAATGGAGAGAAGAGGAGAACCGTGACCGAGTCAGTGCTTGTGTTCCCCCGTTGCGAGTGTGCACACACGTACAGCTGGACAACCGTCGGCCTCCTCTCGAGTCTGGACGCAGCCCGCGAGCCAAGGTCCTGCTTCCCCGCTGAGGCTGGTTCAGTTGGGCCCCCCCTTTGCTGGGCTGCCTCTCCCCACCACGGGGCCGCCTCATGACGGGTCGTTCCTTCCCAGGAAGTGCCGTGTCGTCACTGGTGTGTCTTCTTCCTTTCTTGTGCAGAGGCAAGACACCCGACGTTTTGCTGTGAGCAGTATTTGCCTTTTAAAAATGCTGGAAAAGGAAACGATGTCTGTGTCTTAACTGTTGTGTTCCGAACGGCTGTTCAGACCAGTTGTGTAGAATGTATACCAAAATGGCCACCCAACCGAGCATCGTAGCTAGCCCGAGGGGCTCGCGTTTTGATTTTAGCTGTTCTTTAAAAAAAAATCTACATGAAAGCCCGTTAGTGAATCCTGTTGTCTTTTTTCCAAGTTTGGAAGAATAGTGCTGCTGTTCCTGGGTTGTATGTTTGCATTTGAGAATATAACACCTCATTCACATCCTGGCCCAGCCCAGGGACTGCAGTCCTGGGGGTGGTCAGTGGCAGTGCTCCCTCCATCTTTACAGGACTGTGATCCTGTAGCAAAGTCCGTCGCTCGATGCTCAACGGGGCTGTGCATGAGTGCTCCACTTCCGTTCCCGGACGTCTCCTTGCTGCACCACTGAGTTCCTTCTCTCCCAGTCACGTCCAGTTGAAGCAAAGCCGAGACCTGGCTTAGTTCAGAGGAAAGGCAAGTAGCAAAACTTCCATTACCGCGCCACTTCATAGACTGCAAGACCTTAGCAAAATGAAGGTCTGAGCTTCGTTCTTTTCACCGTGCTATTTTTCCAAGTGCCTAAAGCTTGGGGTGTGTGTGTGTGTGGGGGGGGGGTGGAGAAGCAGAGGTGCCATCCATCTCTGCCTTCCCGAAGGGATGCACTCCAAGGGGAGTTCACCCCTTTAATTCTGCACACTCGATAAACTGGCCTTTGTGCTCTGATGTGAGAGGCTCGCAGGCAGGCACGGGTGAGGCACGGAGGCAGGGAAACGCCGAGAACCAGGGAGCAGAGAGGGGAACTTGCTGGAGAAAGTCTGCGCCTGCCAGGGCAGGCACAGTTTGCAGGGGAACTGGAAGAAAGAAGAACACGGGCCACATTTAAAAAGAGTAACTGCCAAGAGGCGTTAGGTCTCCTCGCTCCTTGAAAATTCCCAGCTGCGGTTTCAAACCACCACCACCAGGAGCTCCTTCCCACAGTGTGCTTTCCTTTCTAAGTCAGCAGAGGCACCACGGTTTGGAACCGCGCGCTAGGATTCCTCTGGCCACACTGCACCCCCCCCCGGCAAGCCATTCAGTGTCAAGGGGCTCACCAGCTGCAGGGCCACCAGCCCTTCCGTTCTGCCCCGGGAGTGAATTACGAAGTTGGATTTTCTTTTGCATACTGAATAGCCAGAATCTCTCGGTGGGACAGAACTGCAACTGCCCACTCTGCAAAATCACCGTGCGGCCACGCAGACGAAGTCTAAGGGCTTTGCTTGCCGGTTCCGATCCCGCACTGGGTTGTGCGGCCTCTGCAGCCTGGTGCCGCTGCCTGGCTTGCACTGGGTCGCACAGGCGTCTACAGTGGGGTGGAATTGGGCCTTTCACATGCACAGCTCTCCAGCTGCACCTTATTCAGCAGAACCGGCTGTCTCGTGTCGATTGGACCCTGCAACACCTCTAATGCATTTGCGGTGTATTTCGGCCGCTAGCATACATTTTGGCAAAGTTTGCTGCCGCTGCTGCTGGAGAGATGATGACACAGAAGCATCTTACACTGGAACAGTGTCCACTGGTGGACATGCTCTTAGCATTCGAGAATCGTGAGAGTGAGTTGGAAGGGCCCGTCAGGTCCAGCCCCCTGCCCTGTGCAGGACTCCCAGTTAAACCATCCCTCCCAGGGGGCTGCCCAGCTGCATCCGGAATGCCCCAGTGTGGGAGAGCCCACCACCTGCCCCGGTCATGGGTTCCAGTGTCTTTCTGCTCCAGCAGGACATTCTTCCTGAGGTTCACCTGGAACCTGGCTTCCCGGAAGAGTATCGGGATCCCATCCATCCTCCATGTAAACGCCTTTCAGGCACTTGTAGAATGCTAGCCTAGCTCCCTTCAGTCTTCTCGAGGCTAAACATACCCAGCTCTTTTCATCTCTCCTCACAGGGCTCAGTTTCCAGTCCCCCGATCATCCTTGTTGCCCTGCTCTGGACCTTTTCCAGCTTCTCTGCATCTTTCTTAAACTGTGGTGCCCAGAACTGGATGCAGCGCTCCAGGTGAGGCCGAGCCAGGCCTGCGTAAGACGGAACTGGAAGTCCGCATGATTTGGAAGTGCTGCTGCTACCGATGCAGCCTAAGGTAGCATTTGCCCTCCTTGCAGCCACACACACGGGTGACCCTCGTTCAGCTTGTGAGCCACAACAATCCCAGGATCCTCCTCACTTGCAGCGCTGCGGAGCCAAGCGTTCCCCCCTTGTAATGATGCGTTTGGGCTCTTTCAAATGATTTCTCCGCTTCATGGCAATTAAGAAAAGATCAGCAGAAATGAATTCGCTGTGCCTTTTTGGCAGCTAAACGATTGCTGTTGCAAAAAAGGGAGGATAAACGCCTCCTGTGTGATGGATTGAAGACTTTTTAATGCTTTTGATATTTGCATGAGAGGCGTTTTTAGCGAGCAGACTCCCATTTGTTGAAGCTTATATAGAGCTGCTAGAAAGTTGTTTGCATTTCTTATGTATTACGGGTATATAAAAATGCATGTCTGAAAATGGGTTTATTAAATTGGGAAATATTTGCAGGAGCCATGTGAGGGAGCCCCAACCCAGGATCTTCAATGGAGGACTTTCTCTGGGTATACCTGGCACCTGGGGTACCCTGGGGGGGGGGGGGCCCAGTCACGGTGACGCCATTGTGCAAAGCTCTCCCCAGAAAGCGTTCCCTGGCACCAGCTTGATTGTCCTTCAAGGCAAGTAAAGCCGTTTGAATGCTCCTGAGCTTCCAAGAGGCAACTTAAAACGTACACTATCAGGGCTTTCAACTTATTTCTTGTGTTTCAGACAGATATGGCTAAAGTGCAGCATAAATTTTTGTAAGGAAGTTCATTCTTTAGAAAGACTCTGCAGAGGTGTTAATCTTGCAGCAAAGGGTTTGTGTCCATCAGTGTGTCTTAAGTGGTCCTAAATGTGTATTTTTTTGGGGGGGGACACAATTATATACGGCTGGATCCAAGGCTGGCCCTTCCGGGAGGCAGACGAAGGCAGCTGCCCCAGGTTGCAGATTTGGGGGCCGCAGAGGGGCGGCAAGGGGCAGGAGGACGGGGGTGTGTGTACTTCGCACGGCGTCCCTGCTTTCCTCAGGTACTTTGCCGCCCTCGCAGCGTCAGCGGCTCCTGGCTGCGAAGCAGGGCTCCTTGGCCGCGTGGGCCAGCTTCTCTGCAGGGAGGCAGAGAGCACCATCTCCCCCCATGCTTCAGGCGGAGAAGGCCATGGCCTGGCTCAGCCGCCCAGCTCTGCCATGGCCAGCCGTCCAAACACTGAAGCCTTCAGGCCTCGTCAGCTCCAGCCTGCACAGCTGACGGTCGGGAGCCCTGGACACTAGAGCCCCAAGCATCTCGAGGGCACGACCTGGTTCGAGACGCTGAGCCAGGCCAGCAAACTTTGGAAGACCCTCAGCAACCAGCTGACGGTCCCGGGTCCCAGTCCACGCTCCACCTGGCTGCTTGCCACCTCAGAAGCAGGATCGCCCCACGCAGGTGCCTTTCTCAGCGCACAGGCAATTTCTTCCCCCGGCGTCCAGGACTGCCAGCCGCTGCCCCCTCGGCTCCTTCCTCCGCCCCCACTGGGGCCTCCCTGCCCCACCGCCCCTTTCCCGTTCCGGCCCTGCACTTCTGCCGGGTGCCTCCTCGCAGCGGTCCTCGCACCGTATTCACTCCAGCTCCCTGCCAGCTGCAAGAGGCTGGCATGGAGCTCGGCGCTATTGCGGACACGGGCCAACCATGTGCTGCAGCAGCTAGAAAGGGCCAATGCTATTCTGGGATGCATTACTAGAAGTAGACTTCCAAGTCACAAGGAGTAGGAGTTCCCCCGTGCCAGCCTTCCCCAACCTGGTGCCTTCCAGACACGTTTGGACTGCAACACCCAGGATTCTCAGTCAGTGGCCCTGCTGGATGGGGATTCTGGGAGTTGCAGCCCAAATGCCCCAGAAGGCCACCAGGCCGGGGAAGGCGGCCCCCTAGTCAGACTTCACGTGGAACACAGTATACCCCCATGAGCTCACCGTTCAGCGTTCATGGCTTGTCCTTCGCGGGATTTTTCTCCAAGCCGATATCCTTGCAAGTAAGCCGGCGCCTCTCCGTGCAGTGGCTTACTCGCAAGGCGATTGTTTCCTCCGCGTTTGGACTCGCTTGGAGAAAGCCATCTCTGTGCATGCTTGCCCGTCCCTGCCTCGCCATGTGCGCACACCCGCCCCCTGGCCCGGCCCGGCCCTCCTGCCCACACCACCTGGGCAGCTGGCACCCAACTCGCGGCTTTAGGAACGTAACCCCCGCGAATTTCGGGGGACTACTGTATCATGTCCTGTCCTGGGCACCAAGATGTAAGAAAGATGCAGGTAAATTAGAAAGGGTCCAGTGGAGGGCAACCAAAATGATCCAGGGTTTGGAAACACTGCGCTGTGAAGAGGGGACATGAGATCCCTCTATAAGTACCTCCAAGGCTGTCACAAAGAGGAAGGCCAAGATCTCTTCCTGCTGATCCCAGAGTGCAGGACACGGAAGAATCAGCTCAAGTTGCGACCACCCAGATTCAGGCTGGACATCAGGAAGAGCTTCCTCACCGTCAGAGCAATAGGACAGTGGGACCAGCTGCCTGGAGAGGTGGGGGCTCTCCCTCACTGGAGGCACTCAAGGAGAAACTGTCAGCCACCTGAGTGGGATGGTGTAACCTGGTGTCCTGCAACAGCAGGGGGCTAGGCCTGATGACCTTCATGGCTCCTTCCGACTCTACTCTTCTAGGATTCCATTATTCTATGGCTTAGATTGGGGCAGCTGTGCTGTTCAACATGTTGAAAGGGCAGCTCTATGACTGGGGACCGAGAGAGCTGTGTGTGTGCGTGCCCACACATTCACACACACGGCCAGTCAACCAAGGGCAGTAGAAAGGACACGGGGAATTGCAGACCGGCTAGCCTTACATCCATTGTAGGAAAAACAATGGAAAGGCTCAGAATAGAGAGAGATCTAGTGATGCTGGATAGGGAAGGGAGGCTGGCAGCCACACAACACGGCTTCCGCAAAAACAGGTCCTGCCAGACAAACCTTGTGGAGTTCTATGACAAGGTTTCGCGATGGCTGGATGGAGGGGATGCCATGGATGTGCTATACCTGGATTTCAGCAAGGCCTTTGACGAAGTGCCCCATGATATCCTGGTGGAGAAACCGAGGAGTTTTGGGATACACCAAAACACTGTCCGGTGGACTAGGGCATGGTTGACTGACCAAACGCAGAGGGTAACCATTAGCGGGGAAGCATCGGGATGGCAGCCAGTGACAAGCGGGCTCCCCCAGGGCTCTGTCCTGGGGCCGATCCTGTTTAATCTTTTGATAAATGACATGGAAGAAGGGATGAACAGTCTGCTGATCAAATTCGCAGATGACACTAAAACTGGAGCAGTGGTCACAACTGAGGAGCAGGTACTCCAGATCCAAAAGGATCTGGACAGACTATGGAAGTGGGCGGGAGACAACAGGATGGCGTTCAATGTGGATAAGTGCAAGGTCTTGCACTTGGGGCATAGGGATGGGTGTCATAAGTACAGGTCAGGGGACAAGTGGCTGGAGAGCAGCACTTGTGAAAGGGACCTCGGGGTGCCGGTCGACTGCAGGCTAAACATGAGCCAGCCGTGTGATGCGGTGGCCAAGAGGGCGAATGCCACCCTTGGTTGCATAGCCAGAAGTGTGGCTTCTAGATCGAGAGAGGTATTACTACCACTCTATACAACTCTGGTGCACCCGCAAGTGGAGTATTGTGCTCATTTTTGGGCCCCTCATTACAGGAAGGATATAGCCGGTTGGAGTCGGTGCAGCGCAGGGCCACAAGGTTGGTGGCCGGTTGGCAGGGGATGGGGTATGGGGCGAGACTGAGGGAAATGGGTCTCTTCAGCCTGGAGGAGACTCAGAGGGGATCTGTTGGCGACATACAGGTGTGTGAGGGGATGCCACACGGAGGTGGGGAGAGACCTGTTTTCCCCTGCAGGGGAAGGCAGGACACGCTCCAATGGAGCCAAGCTCAGGGAAACAAGGTTCAATTTGGATGCCAGAAAGCGCTTCCTGACAGTCAGGACCCCAAGGGTGTGGAATGGGCTTCCCCGGGAGGTGGTTGAGGCCCCATCAGTGCGGGTGTTCAAGGATAGGCTGGACGTGCACATGGTGGGCATGTGAGCGGAGCCGGCTGGTGCCGGAGGTCAGACTAGATGGCCCGGGAGGCCCCTTCTGACTCGCTCTGTTTCTAACCAAACTAGGGAGTGCATCCCTCGGTCACTTCCACCACGGTTCTGGCTTAGGCAGCTCTGCACTTGGGATGAAACGAGCCTTCCTCAGTCTGGTGCTCCCCAGGTGTGTCAGTTCCCAGCATCTCCCAGCCCAGAGGTTCTGAAAGGCATCAAATCAGGGAAGACGTGAACGCTGAAACAGACACCCACCGAGCTGCCCTTGTTCAGCTTATATAACATCTTTGTTGCCTGCCAGGGAGGCTGGCGAGCAAACCGAGGAGAAAGGGACCACACAAACGCGCTTTCGAGACAAAGGACGACGACCCCTCCATGGTGGGACGGAACCAAAACAAGCTCCCAAGGGCAAGCCGAGGAAAACTCACTCAAAACAGACTTCTTTTTATTGTGCTCCGTCTACAGAGTGGTGGCCGCGTTGCTTGGAGGCGTTTCTGCCGCGCAGGGCCACCACGAGGACATGAGGTAGCTATCGTGACGGACGAAACAGACACGACAGAGCCTAAAAATACCACAGGAGTTCTCTGGTCCTCAGGAACCGTTTTCTGCAGCGGGGAAGCAGCCTCCTTTCTGCCCCCAAGTTCCTTCTCGGGTCCATAGGGCTTCGCCAGCACCATGTGCGACTCCTGCGCCAGCATCTTTTTTTAAAACGTTGACGTGTTGTGGGAACAGAGTTGGAAGAAGTCCGCAGGAGCGTCTCTCGCTTGATGGGAGTCGGTGGCTTTTCTGGACTTTGGAGAAGGCAGGCCTGTGTCCCCAGGAATTGGTGGAAAGCACCGGCCTCCCGAACAGGCAGGAATGGGGTGCCCCACAGGGCGATCCTTCAGCAGCCCGCCGGAGAGGGGGAGAAGTAGTAGACAGCGAGCAGGATGGCGTAGACCATCACCAGCACCGTGCCTGGGGCGGGAGGAACCGGGAGCAGGTCAGCGCTGGGGCCGGGGGGGCCGCAGCGTGGCGCTGCGATGCAGAGGCTGTGTCGTCGTCGTCGTCGTCCCCCCCCCCCCCCGCTGCTTGCATCAGGATAAAGGTGTGTTTTTACACACTGCACGACCCGGGTGGATTAGGGTTGGGGTTGAATGCCAAAATGCCTGCATTTCGTTCTCCTTTGACCTCATGAATTACGTTCTGCCCCACACCCCAAACCATGTGAAAGTGCTGTTTTTCCTTTTTGGCACCAGGCGAAAACCTTTTTATTTCCCCGTTATTTTAATGCTTAATTGGTTGTAATGTGCTTTATATTATTGTAGCACTGCATGCTGTGCCATTTGAATTCCCATTTTACTTGTTTTCTGTAAACCGTCCTGAGATGCCAGTAGAGGGACAGTTTATAAAAGCTGGAAGGAAGGAAGGAAGGAAGGAAGGAAGGAAGGAAGGAAGGAAGGAAGTTTACAGCTTGGCTGGACAGGATGTGAGTTGCAGTTCAAAATATCTGGAGAGCCTCGTCGGCCGACGGCTGAGCACCTCAGCAGGAGCCCTGGGCCCCAGACATCCAGGCGTCCTTACCTTGGAAGTAATCGCATTTGCCATCCATGAAGATGTAATTGATGAGCACCACGCTGAACATGCTGGCGTAGACGTGGAGGTCGCTGAAGACCAGGATGAAATCTGTAGGCTGCAGAGGAGGAGGAGGAGGAGGAGGAGGACCACCCAGTGAGTTGAAGGACATCAAGGCTGGAGATCTGGACAGAATGCCCACTAAAAGACGACTTCTAATGCTTAGACCTCCGCATTAAAAAATCTGCGTCCCGTCTCTTCTTGGGAAGATTCATCACTGAACTTTCCGGTGGCCGATTTATCTAAACGCCCCTTGATCTGAGATGTCCTCACGCTCCACAGATGGTGGCAAAATACCCGCAGGGACAACATTACCTGAGCCACTGCCTGATCTGTGACAGCCCCAAGTTTATGGACGCTTCTCTCTGAGACGCTCACCTGGTGCCGGCAGCACCGTCTTTTCGGCACCGGGAAACGATGCAGCCACTTCCCCAGCCGTTTGGGCATCTGCTACAGCCCAGCCGTCATGGGCGGCTCGGGGGGGCGCCCGTTCCAGGCCCCACACGCGCCGAGCTTCCCCTGCGGGGACCGCCAGGGCCACCCTGCTGCCCGCCCAGACTTACGTAGAAGATGGTGAAGAGCACGAGGATGGGGATCTGCAGCATGCACACCTGGACCGCGATGCAGTTGCCGATCTCGATGCTGGAGGGAGAAGGCGCGGGAGGAGGCGGTGAGCGGCGGCAGGGCAGAGGTCGGGGTCGCAGGGCTGTGTGGGCTGCGGGGCAGAGGTCGGGAGCAGCGCACATAGAAAAGCCGGGCGAGAGGAACTGCACCGGCCGCCGCAGCCGCCTCTCCCCAGGAGGGGCCGGCTTGGGGCTGCGGGGGCCCGCGGCTGCGTGCTTTGCGAGCTCCGGGCTGCGCAGAAAGCTCTCCGGGAGGCCGGACCAAATGGCCCCCCTGGCCCTGCAAGGTGAACCACGGCAGAGCGGCTGCTCTGAGTGCAGAGGGGTCCCCGGCTCGATCTTGGGGTGAGGGAGACCCCCAGGGAACTCGTGCTGCCAGTCCGCGTCAGCGGTGCAGGCCCAGGGGAACCTGGGCCGGCCTTGCACTTCCCTGCACGTGACTTTCGACCGAGGCGCCCACTTCCGGGTTCTTTATGGGGTCCAGACCAGCCCCTTGGTGTGCCTGTTCCCTGGATGCCTTTCCCTCCTCCTGCCTCGGGGGCCCGTTCCACAAGGACGTGTGGTGTGTGGTGCAGCGCGAGGGGGGGCCCCGGAACACGCCACCGTTCCCAGCTCTCCAGGAAGCCACTGAAGCAGCTGCACAGAGCGGGACAGGCCTGGGCGTGGGGACAGTGACCGCATCACCCACAAATCCAACATGAGCCACCCAGAAATGCACCCCTCTGGCTGCCGCCTGCTTCGAGCACCCTCCCCTCCCCTCCCCTGGGAAGCTCGAAATCCCGACACCGGATGCCCAAGATCCGGGGCGTGTGGTGGTGGAACAGACCAGAGAGCCGGCAGGCATTTCGGGGACAAAGCCGATGGGCACGCAAGCCGGCCGGGGAGGACCCACCTTAAGCTGAGGTTGTTCTGCAGGGCAAACTGGATGCCGTTGACGATTTCGGGGATTTCAGGCACCATGGCGAGCACCGTCACGCCTATGAAATACTGGGGGAAGGCCTGGTTTGTGGCAGGGAGCAGCCCCTCCGGCTGGCTCACCCTGCCTGCACCTGCCCCCCCCAGGGCTATGCCTCCCCTGGGCTATGCCCCCTCCTCCACCCGCAGCTCATGCGGTGGCCACCCAGCTCTTGCGCCCCAAGCGGTGAGAAGGCCTCTGCGAGGCTCAGCTTGCGGCTCAAGCGCGGCCCTGCCGTCGCTCCGCCCGTCCTGCCGAACGCGGCAGCCCTTCCCCACAACTGGCCGTTGGGCCAGGAAACCGGGGGCAGGCCCTGGTGGACACCCACAGGTCTCCAGCCCCGCCCAAAGGCTGGACTATGTGGCCCAGGCTTGGCTTGGCTTGGCTTGGCTTGGCTTGGCTCGGCTCGGCTCACGGCCGCTGCCTTTGCTGGCCACGTGCCGCCACGCAAGCCTCCCGCCTCCTCCGAGCTTCCCGGACAGGATGAAGTGGGCAGGGCCCCTGGGCACCTCCGGAGCGGGCCGGCCGCTGCCGCACTCACCTGCGAGACGGGCGAGTGCTTCAGGATGGGGCTGATGTGCTCCGTGGCCAGGTCGGCGCAGGCGGACATGCCGAGGGTGGCCACCAGCAGGATGAGCATGGCCCTCCAGCGCGACCAGTGCACCACCGCGCTGTGGTGGTGGCCGGGCACTGCGGGGGGAAGGCGAGGGGTTCGCGGGCGACTGGCGGCGACGCGGCGGCCACCCGCACCCCGGCCCTGGGCTGCTGCCGGGCTCGGGCTGGCAGCCCTGCTGAGGCTGCCTCAGCTCCACCTCGGAGAGCCTTCCGAGTCCATCGGGGACCCGGAAGGGAGGGGCCTTTCTTTGGCTTAACTGATGTGCCGGGGAAAATCTCCACGGAGCACGCTCCGCAGGGCGATCGCCACTGCAGACCACCTCTCCCCTGGCCGGGCCAGGTCTGCGGGAGGGTGCAAACTGGCAGAAGAATTTATCTGGGGCGATCCAGATGAGGAGCTAAGTGGGCGGCTTTACTTCCCGTGGCGCTTAAATGAACCCTAATGGGGACTGAGGAGTCTGTGTGCACAGGCACGCAATTGCGCACCCATTTGCAGCCGATGGGCCCAGCTCCCCGACCAGCAGCTGCGCTAAGAAGCACGCGGGGATCCTGGGAAGGGGGCAGAATGGCCCCCCCCC